ACACACACACACACACACACACATACCACACACACACACACACACACACACACATACACACACACACAAACACATTTGTGGGTGTGTGTGAAGGACCGACATCACTACACAAGGGACATGCCCCATAAGCGCTCCTTCCCCTGAAGAAACACGTCTTGAAGTGTATAGATGCAAACGGTTCTAAGCAATGGTTGATTCCATAGCCTTCTGCTCATCCCTCTAAGTCATGAACTTCTGCAGATGCCCCATCCAATTCCAAGCTCACGAAGTCGCTCAAGATGATGGTATTCCGACTCTTCTTGTTCTTTTTTCTCGTTTTTCCCTGACTGAGCGTACACTTTCAGGTTTGTCAGGGCACAGCTTCCCTTCAGGCTTTGTTTTCCCAGCGAGCTCATCAGCCGGCTCAATGCTCTTGACTCAAGCATGGCCGGGGTGAAGATCCACGTGATATTTTTCAGTGTTGTCTTCCTCAGGAGCTCTGTCTATTTAGCTCTAATGTTCCCACTTTCAATCTTCCTCAGCGTGCTCTGAGAGTCTGTGACATAGATCACATGTGCTTGTCGAGTTGTTGTGACCCTTTTGAGAGCCTGAGTGATTGCCTCTATCTCCATTCTCATGCTAGATGTTGTCATTTCTTATGCTCTCTGCTGTTCCTGCACCAATCTGCCACTCACTCTTGCTGAGAAGCCCCATCCAGATTTTTCCCCTCGTTTAACACATTAACACACTAGTATTTCCTGTCAACTCCTTGGCAAGAAGTGTCCACCAGAAGTTTTATCTGACGAAACCCATTGTGTGCTATATAAAAAAAGCGTAATACCCAGTGCATAGTGTCAATAGGATTCATTCTATTTCGTCGGAGCCAGCATAATTTTCTTCATCATGAATGGGCCAGCAGCTACCATTTTGACACATACAATCGAATTCAATTAAATTCGACTAGGAACTTCAATCAAACAAGTTTGTGTTCCAAAAAGGTCGGGAATCGAATCAGTCGTTTTGTGACAAAATGGTAGCTTTCGTCCTTCCATGAAGGAAAATCTGACTGGCCCTGGCTGGATAAAATAACTCTGATTGGCAGTGTGCATTGGGTATAATTACTAAGACTTTTCAATCGGCCTTGGTTACCGAAACTTGGAGGTCGTCGTACATTCAACGATGTAGCATGTGAAGGGGAGAGGGGGGGGGCAGGGTGTGTGGGTAAGCTGCTACAGTATACCCATTCGTACAAAAGACAAAACAAGATAAATGTAAGTTAAATGTGAAGCCAGTCAAAGTCAAACTGTTCATACGTTTGCATACATACCAAAAACATAAATCATGGGTGGTTGGAGGGCACTATTGGCATATCCTACTGTTTTATTGTTTCTGTCTGTCTATCTTGCTTTTCCTTAAAACAAGTAGGCGTTGTTGTGTCGCAGCTCTTTTATTTACTAAAAGCAACAACAAAAATCAAATAAACATAACACTACCGATATAGAGACCCAAAGCAAGATATCTTGCAACCTGGACAGCATTTTCAACTTTTCAATTAGTCTAAGAAAGAGCGCACTGTTTGCGTTGGAAAAGAGGATGACAAAGAAAAGGCTGGTCTGACAACATCAAAAAAATGAATTTGTTTGTCAGGCAGAGAACTCCACGATGGGACAACAGACGGAGGCAAAGAGCAGGTTCCCAAGATGGCGCAAGTCAAGGGACAAGTGTGTAGGTGATGGTCATAAGACAAATTAATGATATTTAGCTCTTTCATTAGCACGAAGCCTTTTAAATTTAAATCTTGCCCTTTCAAAATGTAACTGTATTATCTGGTAGATATTGAGATAAGAAACCCAAGTGTCACCCCAACCCAGATAACAAAGAAAACAACAAAAGAAACAAAGTCGATGTATTTAACGATGAGCCGGTAATTGTTCCTTCGATCCTTCTTTTCACCTTCCTTTTTCTCGTCGTTATGATCACTCATGGATTCCTCTGTTTCTTCCAGACACGATAACGGATCTACATCCACGGAGTTACGTTTGATTCTCGCATTGCCGTTCTCAGCAGTAGCCAGTCTGAGCCCTTGGTGGCTCTCAGCCGAGGCCGGCCTTTTGGGGTTGAAGCCAAACATGTTCACGAGGGATGGGCGATCTTGCATGGGAGCCACCGATCGTTGCATGAGCTTCACTCTGCGGAAAGCGCTGTTGAATTTCTCTCGTGCTTTGATTTGCTTCTCCTTCTCCTGCGACGGAAAATAGATAACTTTTTAAAAACCCTGCAACGAATAAGTCAATATATACAAAACTTGTAGTATGAAAAATAAGTAAAGTTTAACTTACAATCATGCAGGATAGGAGCTCAAATTTACCGCCACGCAATAAAAGACATAAATATTATATGAGGTAAAAAGAAATACGACATATAGTTGTGCAGTGGGAGAAAAAAAATGGTTTGCTATAGAGAAGATTTTTAAAAATCATGCTAAAAAAATAACACAGTATGCAATATGGAAATAGAATACATAGTTTACGCATAATGCATACTACCATAATAAATAGAAACACGTTGGACCCGAATGTGTAATAAGGAAAAATGGCTTCATTTTCATACATTCTGGTGGCAATCAACATCTACAAGGAGTATGTATATTGCTGAAAGAAACGTTTGAGAAACAGATTGTGGGATAAAGGCCAGTAAGCGAAAGAAACATCCTACTGAAAATGCAACCAAAACCGTTTAACATCGCAATACTCCAGACATGTCCCAATCTCCACATGCAAAAATGAAAAGATTAAAATATTATTATTTAGAAATGGATAGGATCCTGAAAGATATGAAAACCGAATGAAGTACCGGGTTTTCCCCAAATAGAGGTCCTTTGTAAAGGGCAATAACTCGATCGTCTTTTGGCCAATTTCAACAAAACTTTGAACAAACAAAATTCAACTATGAGGATATCAAGTCTGAAATTATAAAGAAAATCAATAACAACGTTCGAAAAATATGTGAGGCAGAGTGGTGGAATCAGACTCTCGTCAAAATAATCAAAGTGAAGAAACTTGCATTTTTCCACAGGTTTGAGAATTTTTATCATTTTAAAAAATTTTCTTTTTGCTCAACACCTTTCATGCCCATAAAGAACTCATTTCTGTGTGGATTTTCCTGAAAATGGTTGATTAAAGGCACAAAGAATGAAAATGTTCAGTTACCACGGACTCTTAAGCTAAGGAAATAACTAATCTGTGGCGGCCATTTTCTCACTAATTTTACCTCTGAAAACAAGTGACCCCCACCTCCTTCTTTAGCAAATATCTCGACGTGTATTCAAAATAAATTGATATTTTTTCATCCAAATAAAGACAAGTGAACAAGCTTTAAGATAATACCAATAACTCTACATGCCCAAAAATTGACGAGAGCCTGATTCCACCACGCTGCCTCACATATTATTTTGAAAATTTCAACCAAAATTGTGTAACATGCAAACGTTTGCAACTACTTAGAAACCAGCCATATTGTTCCATTTCAAATAGTCACTATTTGTGCAGTGAAGAACAAATTGGTACAAAATAAATATTGCCAAGCAAACAGAGGAGGATATGGCAGTTTTTAACTCCAAGTGTTAACCATTTCTCTAGCTAAAAGCTTGCGTGTGCAACTGGGAAATTTGAATGGCCCCGTGGCACGTCTCTGGGTCGATTCTTTGGACGTCATTTTCAACATTGGGTTTTAACTGCTCGAATGTTTGTGGTTGTTTCTGTAGACTCTGTTCATAAAAAATCCCGATGGAAACAATTGAAAGGGTTCACGTTTCGGAGAATGTGGTGACCATTCATTTGTCAACTTTCAGCTTATAGGGCGTTCCCAAAACCATTTTTACAACTACACAAATGTCACTCTTGGCGTGTGGGTTGTGGACACATTCTTACTGGAACCAGGCCTCTACAGCATAACACCCCCACCCCAAATTTCTACAAAGCTTCCTCTGCACAGTGAGATATCCATTTGACGAGACAGTCGTGGTTTTACCGTTCATGTCCTGGAACCAGAATGTGCGATGACGCCCCTGTAGCTGAACGTTTTTATTTGAGAAATAACACTCTGTGTTTTACTTAATTTTGTTTGAGATTTTTAGAATCTAATATTTCTCGAACACTTTGATTGCTTTTCTTCATATTTACAGACTTGATGTGTTTAGGATTGAAATTTGTTTGTTCGAAATTGTATTGAAATTGCCCTTCTTCAGCACAGTGAGATATCCATTTGATGTGACTGTCGTGGTTTTACAGCCCCTGATGATGAACGCTTTTACTTGACAAACTAGCTAGACCCCCTTTCTCTGAAAGGAATGATCGCTGCATTAACATCAACTGAAAGTCATTGGCCTACTTTATTTACACTCTACTTGAATGGAACAATGAATCTTGAGAGATGCAAAAAAATTAGAAGGTCCAGATAGAGATGTATAGATTGATTCTCTATTCCGCTTTCGAGGTAGTACACTCCAGAATTTCAAAGGTGCGCACGGTTAGTGAACGGAAATTTCACTTGTTTACAATGGCGTCTTAGAAGACGGACTTTCCCAAGTTTAGATATAAACGAAACTAATGAAAAACTGAAAATTAAACTACAATGACTTCAGGCTCCTCAATAAAACTCTGCACCCTTTAAATGATTCTGAACCACCGTTAATTGTGTCAGATTCGAAAGTTAAGTGTTTGGGAAGTTTTAGGCAGCCAAAATGACGAACTTTCACAATCAATATAATGTGTATAGATAACATTATGCGTTTTATTTAACTTTGGTTGAGATTTTTAGAATCTGATGTTTCTCGAACACTTGTATTGATTTTCGTCATATTTACAGACTTGATGTCTTCATGATGAGATTTGTTTGTAATTGTGTTGAAAGTGGTGCAGAGATGATCGAGTTATTACCTTTTAAGTATGTCCTCTTTTTTAGACACCCTGTACTTGTTATAATGAGATACCTAGATGCTAAAGTTGGAAATGAACAACATCAAGACAGACATCACTGGCAACTACAGATTAGGAGAACGTAACAAAAGAGGTGAAAGACTCCTATATGTTTGTGAGGAGAAGAATCTTATAATAGCAAAGGCCTTCTTTCAGCGACCTGAAAGAATATTGTATACATGGAAAAGTCCTTAAGATGTTGCGAGTCACGAACTGGATTACATCACCATAAGAAATACATTCAGAAACAGCATTAAACAATTTAAAACATACCCAGGGACTGACACAGATTCTGACCACAACCCACTCATTGCAAAAATTACCATAAAGCTAAAGGATTTGAAGAAAAGGGCTGATAAAATAAACAAAAATACACATTCGCTGTGGGAAATTGAAAAAATTGAAGAAAAAAGAAAGGTGTCTTAAGTTTAAGTGCAAAAACAGATATGAAGTTCTCAGAAACGAAGCAATGGAGCAATTCAGAAAAGAAACTTGCAACGAAAAAGTAGACACTGAGGGGGAAAACACTTCAGAGACAGCATCAAATGTGGGGTAGAAAAACCAAAAAAAAACATGGTTCACTGAGAAAATCTTAGATCTAATGACAGAGAGGAGGAAAGCCAAAAATATACATAATACAAAGTCTTAGACAAGTTACTCCAAACAAAAGCAAAGAGCTCAAGGGATCGGTTGATTGAAAATATTCTGAATTAAATATAGGAAAAAGGTCAAATAACTCACGAATTATGTACGACAATCAAGTAACTCATCGAATACAGCACAACAAGATATCACCAGGAGGTGCTAAAGACAAGGAAAGCAATATGTTATTTGAGAAAAAAGAAGTCCTAGGAAGATGGGCAGAATATGTAGGTGAGTAATTTAAAAGACATCCCCAACTACAAAGGAGCAAGAACAATAGTCCCAAAGTCCTTAGGTCAGGGGTAGAGCTCGAAATTAAAACACCCCAGAAGGAAAAGCCCCCAGCAGAAATGGTGAAACAAAAAAAATCAATTTGGCATTGGCATTATGGCAGAACTTTTCAACGATATCTGTGACTCGGGACATGTACCAGAAGAGCTATTACAATCGGTTTATATTATAATCCCCCAAAATAAGTCAAAATAAAAAACAAACAGCAAAATACGCTGACTTCAAGACCATCAGTCTAATGCCACAAATCATGAACATATTTTTGAAAGTCTTTTTGGAGAGAATCAATTGCAAAACTAACAAAGAAATTGAAGACGAACAGTTCGGTTTCAGTTTTGGAAGTTCTGGAAGTGGCACCAGAGACGGAATCTTCTGCATGGACACGACTACAAAGAAAAATATACAAATAAAAAAAGACCCCTTTGCCTGCTTTATTGATTACTCAAAAGCTTTCGACAGAGTCCACCACATCAGACTGATTGAGCGTTCGGGGAAGATAGGTATTAATGGCAAAGATGTCAGAATCATAGGAAATCTCCACTGGCGGCAGAAAGCAACATTTGAAGTGGGTAATAGACTGTCGGACTATACTGAAACTCATAGAGGAGTGAGACAAAGTTGTGTACTTTCTCTCCCCATCTTTTAAATATCCATACAGCGTTTATTTTTAGAGAATCTCAAAACCTTCAGGGAGTCACTATAGGGGCTGCTACAACAATAACCTGAGATACGCAGATGACCTTACAAATGCAAGCGAAAAATCTTTCTAAAATTGGGAAAGCCGGTCTTATCGGTGTGTACAAAATTGGGAAAGCAGTAGAAGAGAGTAGTAGCAAGGCAATCCACAACATAAACGCCAAGAAAACAAAAACAAATACACCTGGAAAAAATAATAACGGACATAACTAGAGCTGAAAAGAAATTCAGCAAAATGCACAAACTATTTATTACATCCAGGAAACGATCTCTACTATAAAGAAAGAAAATTCTAGAATGCTACATCTTCCCCATATTCCTATGTGGCGATGAGACCTGAACTTTAACAAAGAAAGAAGAAAACACAATGCCTGGGTTTGAGGTATGGTGCCACTACAGAATGGCCAGAATTAGCTGGAAAGCAAAAAAGACGAACACTGAGGTGCATCATTTTCTCCACACAAGACAAACCCTACTTAATAAAACAAAACGTAGAAAAAACGCCAACCGCTAAGTCAGAGATGACTAATCCAGGCTTTTCAGGTTTACCACATCATGTTTTATGCACCATACCTTCCTATACCATACAATACCATACCACACTATATCGTATCATTCGGTATCATTCTGTACTGTACCATTCCACGCCACATCACACCCAATGACACCATACCCAAAGAGGTATAATAGCAATAGAGGTCGCAGCTGTGACGTCACCCACGTAAACACTCTATGGTTGTGCGGGCCCGCTCAGCTCGCTTTGTCGCCATTTTTTAGTGGATTAGAAAAAAAAACGCTGTCACGCTACGAGTCCCCCGTAATGCCTAGGTCTTTTTAGAGTTTGAAGCTCAGTTCAGTTTTAATTTAAGTTTTCTTTTTGTTTGTTGTTGTTTAATCATATAACATACACGCATACACAATACCCCACCTGCTTACCGATTGTGGGAAACATAAATGCTCTTAAATATAGGCTATAAATGAACAGAGAGATATAATGAGGTATTGTTTGTTTTTTCAGGGCGAAGTTGGGAGTGGCGTAGGAAGATAAGTGAGTAATTGAGTTTGTTAAGAAAAAGGACAATTTCATACTGTAGATTTACTTACAAAATGGATTGCTTGCTTTTATGTCATCTTGCCTACACTCTCCTTCTACTGATGCAAAGACATGGTCTTTATAGAGTATGAAGGGGGTTTAGACTGGATTAATTAATCAATATATTAATGCGTTATTGTCTCAAAATGAACAATTAATTGTAGGCTGGGATACTGAAAATCACTTATATTGTATGGATCCTGTGCGCACACCCAAAGAGCGCTGTTTAATATCGAGCACCAATACTTATAATATACTGACAACATTCTAAAATGCAACACTAAGATAAATAGCCGGTTTATCTTAACCGTTCACAATATTTCTTAAAATTGGCGTTGGTGTCAATGGTGTTTGGCTACACAACACCTCATCTTCCCTGAATCCCTGCTGCTGCTGTTGTACATACTGTTTGGCATCGGTTCCGTAAATGAGATAGAATATTGCGCCGGTCTTATTGGTGTGTATATAGTTACACCTGGTTGGCTACTTTATATTCTCTCATCTCAACAACATCGACAGTGGTTCTTTTCCGTTCAGACAGCCTTGAAAGTGTGTTAGAATTGCAGCTGAAGCTTCTAGCAGCTTCTCAGTCACATTCCTGATTCCAGAGAGCCGACGCGAGCGCCTTGCTGTGGTCAGCGAGGCTAAATCTAGACATACTGTTTGAGCGATGCACAACCTAAGATTTCAATAAAATTATTATGTTTCTTATTTTAACAAGGGATTCTGAAGTCCATTTCATTCTTTTTTTCCGAATTTTACTAACCCGAATGGTCCCAGCGTGTAAAAGGCTTTATTTGCATTATTTGGAGATTATCTGGCTTTTTAAAACTTAAACAATCACAAAAATCACTACGGGTACATTTTAGCAACAGGCAAATCACATGAAAACGAAATCAACATCAAACGACTTCACAGAGTAACTTTAATGCGTGATGAAACGTGTTACTGTGCACCGACTGGCCTTTTATTCCTCTCCAGACTGGGGGCGGGCCCCTCAAGTTTGACACTCGTAACGTCACAACTAAGACATCTAGTTCTATTTAAAACCTCTTTGCACCATACCATACCATGCCATGCCATACCATACCAAACCATACCATACTATACCCCACCATACCCCACTACACCACACCATACCATAGCTTAGCATACCATACCATAACGTACCAAAACATACCATACCTTAGTATAATATTGTACCACACCACACCGCACCGCACCACCCCACACCATAATATAATATTATTATAAAACACCTTGGGTGTAGGACCTAAATCACAAGTAGAAAATGATGACATACCTGCTCCCGGTGACTGAGATAGACGATGAAGATACTGTTGATAACGGTGAGAGATGAGAGGATGAGGAGGATGAAGAGGTAGATGGTGACATAAGGCACTTTGTCGGAGGAGCGGGGCAGCATGGAGCTTACGATGCTCAGAAATACAGACACGGCCAGCAGGACTGTTATACCTGGGGAGGCAGAGGTCGTTGTTGTTGTTGTTGTTGTTGTTGTTGTTGTTGTTGTTGTTGTTGTTGTTGTTGTTGTTTGTGGTTGTGGTGGTAGTAGTGAGGGTAGTGGTTGCAGTTGTGGTGGTAGCGGTGGTGATAATGGTGGCATTGTTGTTGTCTTTATTGCTATAATAGTAGTGGTAGAAGTAGTAGCAGTCGTATCAGTAGACGTAGCAGTCGTAACAGTAGTAGTAGTAGTAGTAGTAGTAGTAGTAGTAGTAGTAGTAGTAGTAGTAGTACATTTTAAGACATTTTCGAGCAGACAGATTAGATATGTTCAATCAAATATTTCTCCCATAATTTGTGAATTGAACCCAAGTCATTCTTGTGGAAAGCGACGTGCTCAGCTATTACGATAAATGGCAAAGACAAAATTGGCCATATTTTTATTTGACACTAACACTTACAATTTCATGAGTATGCAGCAGGATAGTGTGGACTTTTAGTACTACAGTTATTTCTTACAGACAGACAGACAGACAGACAGACAGACAGACAGACAGACAGACAAACAGACAGGGAAAGAGGGAGAAAGGGAGAGAGGGGGGAGAGAGAGGGGGAGGGGGAGGTGAAAGAGAGAGAGGGTGCAAGGACACACATGTTAAGTTCACCAATTCAAATGTATTTACAATTACTTCATTGCGGGGGGGGGGGGGGGGGGGTAAACATAACATTCTATGAGCCTTGGTTCACGCAGGTCTCACTTTTTGATATACATAATAATATTACATAAGTTGCTACATGAATAGATACAGGGTATATATCTAATCAGGATCAATGTAAAGAAAAAGCATAATTCTGATGTACGTCATTGTTCGCCATCTGTGCAATAAATTACAAGGATCAGGGATATGAACCATACCTCCCCCAAACCAATAAGCCTACTTTGAATACATAAACCAAATAAGTATTCACCTACCATAACTGATCTTTTCCCCTGAGTTCACAGGGATGATGAACACGAGGATATTGAGTAGCGACAGAAAGACCACTGGTAGAAGAATGTTCAACAAGAAAAAGGTTGGGCGTCGTTTGAGGACGAACTCTAACTGAAATGATATGAACAGGGATACTTATACGATACGTGTTTAGAAAAGAGGAAAACAAAAAGAAAGAAAGAAAGAGAAAGAAAGAAGAAAGAAAGAAGAAAGAAAGAAGAAAGAAAGAAGAAAGAAAGAAGAAAGAAAGAAGAAAGAAAGAAGAAAGAAAAAAAGAATGAAAGAATGAAAGAAAAAAAGAATGCAGCAACAATTAAACAAGAAAAAGCCATTCTAAAAACTCAATCAAAGTTCTGTTAAAAATGTAGCTGGCAACAAACTAGCAACCAAAATAGAAGCATGAACACCTCTTTTCTTTAACGTAAATGTTTTTTTACGCCCCCTCAACAAAATCGTTTTGGAAACTGGCTTTGACCCTGCCTGTCAGGGCCAATCCGGGTTGAGAGGGAGTGTTATGTCTCAGTAGAAAAACTAAGATGTTCGACAAAAAAATCACCCCGCATGGGAATCGAACTCAGGTCTTCTCAGTGCGAGGGCGAAGTGCTAAACCACTACACCGCTGATGCAATTCGCCTCTTTTCCAGGGTAGAAGTAAACTTTGACCCTCCTTTTGAAACATACTTGACCTTGGACGCATTCTTCAGGTCCCCACTCTCTATGGAGCCAAACTTGGGTCATTGTAACGACTTGCGAGAAAGATGCATTTCTCTTATTCTACTAATAAGAATGAAGGGGGTAGGATCATGGTAGGAATCCCACCTCCTAAATGATCTGAATTGTGTTGGTGGAGACGTAAAAACACCAAAATTTAAAAGAATAAAATCATGGCTGCGAGTAAGCGAAGGAGGCAATGTTCACCCCAAAACTTCTCATATCTCTTTAACGCTAAGTGACGTCATACTTTTCCTAGGTTGTGCAGAGCCTAATACTCCCTGCCTTGGTCTTTCTTCGGGTCGATTTAGTACTAATATTGCTATTTATAAATTATTTAATTATTATTACTACGAACAAAATTATCGTTAACACAAAAAAAGGAAAATTTGTTGACAAATCTTCACCAGGTCTAAGAACTCATAAAAATGCAGTCAACATGTGTCGACATGCCTTCATACAACATGTGTCACGACACTATGAGATCATACGCTGGTCAATTTTTGGGCATATGGATTGTTGGTATCATTCAAAGCTTGCTCATTTTGTCTTGTCTTCAAAAGAAAATTACCCCTCAATCTTGAATAGAAGTCAAGATATTTGCGATTGAAGGAGGTGGGGTCGAGCTGGTTCAGAGATAAAAGTAGCGAAACAATGGCAACAGAGTATGGTGACTTCCAAAGCTAGAGAGTCCTTGGAAACTGCAAATTTACAGTTGTGCGCCTCAAATCAAAATCTTTCAGTAAAATCCACACCCAATTGCATTTTTATATGTACCAAAAGGTGTTAAGCCAAAACAAAAAATAATAATTCGATAGAAATTCCCTCACAGGCGGCCGGTTTCTTCAATTTCCTTATTTTGACGAGCGCCTGATTTAATACAATTGAAGTCAAACGAGGCAGAGGTAGGCCCAGAACAGCATACTTACGGAACCAAAACAATTAATTAATAGGTAACATGGAAAGATCAGGGAAACGTAGCTTTTTTTAGAGCATCCGAGCAAAGGAATGAAAGAAGAACCATGATCGTCGATGTCTGTCGCAGATCTGGATGATGATTATGATTTAATACGGTGTCTCTCTTTCGTCCCCTGTTCTGCCTTACATGCTGATCTGGGCTTTTTAAAACAGAAATTATCGTTACTTTTTCTGTGCTTCAAATCATCAACCGGCGTCTGTGGTGTGGCGGATAGGCGCTTTGCTTTATTACGTAGAAGGCATGAGTTCAATATCCGTGTGTGGAGGCTTTTTGAAGAGTATCTTCATTTGTCTGCTCGTCGTATCCCCCTTACCCCTGACTGGCAGTGTCAAAGCATCCCGGAGATATATTTGAGATATGGTGGAAATACAGTGGAGTCCGCTTACGCTAATTCAAAAACGGCGGTAAATTGAAAGAAAACGAAACCCCAGATTTTGTTACCGTCTTCTTTGTCTTTGTAAAAAACAACTATCAATTAGCTGAAATGCTCCAATTACAAAACCTAAAAGAATCTCGGGGATTTTGTCGGCTAAATGTTCATTAGCAATCCATAATAGATCTTCGGGACTTCAAGATAACGAAATGGAAAAAAAAGACAGAAAGCACATTTTAATCTCCATTGCCGGCCAGAGAGAGGCATCGCTAGTGAGCTGTTTGCCTGTGTTAATTGTTAAGCACAGCAATAATAGGCTTACGTGTTGTGTATAGGCCCTGTGAAGCAAGGATAGTGAATATATAATGTCTATCCTACAACCTGCGGTTGGACATGGCCTATAATTGTCTCTACAAGTTAGTTCACAAATAATACATGAGTAAGTGACGGTATGTGGCATATTTCATGACGCCACTGTTACTGGGGTTTCTCACTTCCCTCGCCTTTCGCAGGAAGAATAAAGTACTATATGCTGATCTACCCCTTTGTCTATTCAGTGTGACTGTTCAACAAATTAAGCGAGCTGACAATGTCAGAGACAAAGTACTATGCGTACAGCTTTCAGCTTAAACTGCAGTTAGTAAAAGAGGTAGATGAAAAAAGAAATTCAAAAAGAGAAATTCGCCGCAAGCTTGGCATTCCTCACTCTACGCTGTCGATAATCATCGACAAGTTGAGCAACCCTCCCTATACCAAAAATCTCGCGGTCTCGTTAAAGATTTCTGTTCAAGCGGACTCCACTGTAGAGGAGTGGAAAGTGTCGACAATTACAATTGTGTCACGGCACCGTGGAATCAGGTGCTCATCAATTTGGGGGTATATAGAGCTATTGCATCATCTTCAAGCTTATTTACTTGTCTTTCTTTTGATTAAAAAAACACCCATTTATATTGAACAAAAGTCGAGACTGTTACAGTTGAACTAGGTGAGCATCGCCTGGTGTCGGAGGCAAAAGTAGCGAGAAAATGGCCGTCAACGTTTGGACACTTCCAAAGCTTGAGTTCCCTTGAAGTCTGCAGATTTACATTTTGTATCTTTCATCAATGTTCTTCAGTACAATACACACAGAAATATGTTTTTAAATAGACATGAACGGCGTTAAGCCAAAAGAAAAGACATTTTTAAATACCCAAACGGTGGGGAAAATGTTGGTTCCTTCGATTTACTTATTTTGACGAGCACCTGATTGCACCAAGATGTCTCGCATTTACAATTTTTTTTTCAGCAGCATCTGGGGAAAATCTACCCACTACGGTAATATTGAATCGTCCTTTGGAAAATAAACAATTAATCGCAAATCCAAAGAAACTTGGAACTTCAAAAAAAAAAACCAACTTGGAAAAGAAAATGGAATGCCCCAATGTGTAAAATAGTGATGATGATAATGATAATAATAATAATAATAATGATAATATTAATGATAATAATGATAATAATAATAATACAGTGGAATCTTGTTATAACGAGAGGGAGGGGACCGGAGCAAAATGTCCGCTATAGCAGGATTCTCACTATAAGGGATCCAGTAATAAATTAAAGTGTAAACTGTAAAGTAGGCCTAATTTATGAGTTTGGTGTTTTGTTTCTTTCTTTTTGCTATCTCCCCTGATGATGATTTTGTTTCAACATGACCTCTAGGTCTTACTTGATCAAGAATCGAATCAGGTTTCTTTCTCTAGCGCTAGATCTAGCGATGTTGACAGCTCGGCGTTGGCGATCAGAAAGAAAGGGCTCTCGGCTAACTCGTCCACTGTGTTTTCCCCCACCCCACCTCACCCTGTGGTGCATTCTGTCTGCTTGCGCACGTCATACATTCGCTCCCTCCATCACATTGCTGTGACCTCTCCATCCCCACATCGGAGAAGTGAGAGGCATGGTAGGCCTTGATAATCTAAACTAGGCTTACGCTGGCTTATCACGCGATGCGTTCATCTTGTTTGCGCATGCCATACCCTCCCCACTCAGTCGCTCTGGCCTTCATTGTTGACACACGTTGGTTCTCCCATTCTTTGTTTCGCTAGATCACCAACAACTTTCTCAACTGGCGAGGTTTTACTTAATGTATAATTGGCCCATGCACTGTGCACAGCAGCAGCCATAATCCGCTATAACCGACTCGTGTGTTTGTCTGATAGCGCTATAGCAGTATTTTATTTACAAAGGTAAAGAAGACAAAAAAGCGGGGTTTTAGACTTCTCGTTTTTTCCGGACTCGTTATAAGTGGACTCCACTGTAATAAAAATAATAATAATAATAATAATAATAATAATAATAATAATAATAATAATGATTATTATTATTATTATTATTATTATTATTATTATTATTATTATTATTATTATTATGATAATAATAACGATGATGATGATGATGATGATGATGATGATGATGATGATGATGATGATGATGATGATGATTTTAATAATAATAATAATAATAATAATAATAATAAAAATAATAATAGTAATAATAATAATAATAATAATAATAAAAAGAAGCTAATATTTTAAAACCTACAAATGTATCAAGGAGCGCACTTACCTGGATAGATGGCACATAAACGGAAGAAATTAGCACATTCACCGCCTTAAGGGTGCCATTTTCTAGTTCCCACTCTCCATTCTGTACGTAAAAGTTTTGTAAAACTTCCGTTACCCGCTCTGTGAAGATAAGCTCGGAAGCTTGAAGACCCATTGAAATCATCTGTGAAACAACGTGAGACAATCATGGTGAGTCTGTTTTGTTTGTTTGTTTGCTTGCTTGTTTGCTTGCTTGTTTGCTTGCTTTGTTTGTTTGCTTTGTTTGTTTGCTTTGTTCTGTTAAAATGATCATCTTGTCTGTTATATTTAGGATGTTCATCTAAAATGTGTCGGTCGTTGGGAATTTAAATAGACAAAAGGAAAAGGATGAAAATAAATGAAGAATCCATTGGAAAACCCACTATATACATGTACTTCAAAACTGAGAAAACTGGGAAGGGAGGGGGGGGGGGCGTATTCGCAGAAAACAAAATTTTCATCAGAAATCAGTTCTATTATACCTAATTAAATATAAAAGGATGCAGTGTATTTCGAGAAGAGAAAAAAAACGCCAAAAAATGTATATATATATATATATATATATATATATATATATATATATATATATATATATATATATATATATATATATATATATGTATGTATGTATTCATACGACAATTGTATGTATTCTTATCATGTGATTTTTGAGTGGACAGGGTTTCTTTAAATAACGCCCCGATTTGGCGAACGGTGAGATAAATTTTGAAAAGGAACCCATCCAATACTGTCAAGTCTGTAATAAAAAAAAAGGTGTCAAGCAGCTGCATAATAAGGAAAGTGTTGGATCGGAGTCCACAAGATAAAAGATCAAAGGGAAGACCACGTGGAACCTGGGGAAGTCACAGAAATTGCTGTACAGAAATGTGGGAAGACATGGAATAACATCAAAAGGCTAGCCCAGCATTGGGAAAGTTGGAAAGTATTTCTTCGTGGCCTATACCCTAATGCCGGGTAGGAAAGGTAACGATGAAGAATGATGTTACAACATTCTTATTATTTCCTTAGAGCCCAAAATTACTACGGTTCATACATGTGACCTGTAAAACTCTAGTTTCATTTTGCACGTAATTCCTTTTTGGGCAACTGGACTTCAATGCTATAAATGTTATTTATGCCAAAACAGGAAAAATGGATTGAGTACAAGGTAAGTATTATTATTATTTTAATTATCATTTTTATTATTACTATTACTATTGATGGTAACCCTTTAAATGTTGAATTGTTATTGTTAAAACATATTTTTTGCCATATCTTTTTATTTGGCTTTTTTGTTTTGTTCTCTTCGTATTATAACAGAATAGAAAGTAGCATCATGAACGTCTTTTTGAGACCTCTATTATGAACTGACTTGAATAGCAACGCTCACCTTGGACGTCCCCTTTGCATTAGGGGTATGTGCGCCCAGCAAACGCGGTTGAAGCCTGATGGTATGAAGACGAGCACCATGCGTGCATGCCCTTATCTTCTGGTATTTACTATTTACTCAGATAGTCCTTGCAGCGCCGACCACACCAGGACCTGTCTGTGGGGGGCTCTCTTGGTCTAAAGGTCACCGTGTTCGCCTCTCATTCAGTAGGTCCCGAGTTCGAAATCTAACGGCGACGGAAACATTTCTTCTCTGAAATTGTCTCATATTACCTCTTTTCCTGTTCTCTATCGTCTGCTATCGTCTCCACTTTCTTCCCCAACACCCCCACGCCCCTTTGCGCTCTCCTCTGGGCTCCTCACTCTTTCTGCAGCCTTTCTACTGATACTCCTTGGCTCCTTTTTACTGCTGACTTTCAGCCACGCCCCTGATCTTAGGGTCGGTAAGATCTAATACCTAGCTTTCTCTGATAAGGGCGGCAAATCTCAAAGGTGTCGTGTGCAAGTTGCGCACGTTAAAGATCCATTCGAGGTCCAAAAACGATAAGAGTAGGCTTCAACCTCCACCCGGGCAAAATTCAAATTTCATTTCTACCAAACTGAAAATGTTTATTGTGTCCTATGCGCTCATATGACTTTATGCAGTTGCCAGCGCCCGTGAAACACCTACCAAATACCCCCCCCCCCCCAACAAAAAAAACAACAACAAAAAAACCCAAGACACGTCCGCGACTATTGGGCAGCGTAACGCTGCGGAAACCACACGATGCCTCCCATAGTACAGGCACCTAGAAATGCACCGGGGACCATGACTGGTGCAGGGCTCGGACGTTCCAATCACGTCCACACAAGGCGCCATTATTGATCCTTCTTGGTGGCTGGTAATCGTATTCAGCTACCAGTTTTACCCCCCCCCCCGACCGCAGCCCCCACCCCTGCGCCCTCTTCTGCTTGATCTTCTCGATAGTTTCTCTTAGTTGTGTACCACATCGCCACCTCTGCACTAGCCCATGAAAGCGGAAACATTTCATTTCGTGCTGTATCTCTTAATCTACATAATGTACTTAAACTTACATGTTGACAAAATTAATTCGCGAAATACGTTTTATCCTCACTTTAAGAATTGGGGGGGGGGGGATTGGTTGCTTTCTTAAGGAGAAAGGAGAGGGGGGAGATGGCTCAAGTAAACGTTTACTAGTTCAGTCAGACCTGCTTTAACAGCCACCTGTATAATAACACAATCACGTGTACAAACTGCCCACTTCCCATTTCCTCCCTTTGCTTTTTTAACGTTATAATTACACTGTGTTTCCCAAAGTCCACCCCACCCCCGTCCACGCTGAGGAAGATGGAAACGGGACAAAGTAGGGGATTGCTGGGTTTGGGAGAAGTACGGTGTGGCTTAAAGCCTCGGAGGCGCTACACTTGAAGGCCAACCTAGGTCACCCTGGAACGTCGCTGGCCAACGGGGCTCTGGTGAAATTACGACGGCCTTGCAGGCCGGTAATAAATAAAAACTCCTAAACGGCAAAGAAAGAAGGAAAATAAACGGAAATTCCAGCTAATTAATAGAATCTTCATACCAACATTAGGATACCAATGCCAAACATGTTCCCTTAATAAAGCACAAAATTGAAAAATTAGTGCATGCGAAATGAAGTGTCTCCTCAAAACCACCAATGGCACCAGAAGAGACCGAATACGGAACGTGATCATACGCCCTCAAACGGAAATTCTATTTATCTAGCGTTAAGTCCAGACATCTAACCAGAATGCATCAGAAACAACTAACGGTAAGAGCTTACCACATCGGTGAATCCAGCTTCAAATAAAGAGGAAGACTGAGAAATACCTGGCTGGATGAGGTCCTGGAACAACATAACTTATTATCTAACACATATGCCATGCCCTTAGCAGAGGACCAAAACTTGCACCTCCTCTCAACATCCAAAGAAACCAGAGGACGGAAAAAGTAAAAGTAAGCAAGACGCCCTCCTGTGTACGACGGCCACTTTTCTCCTCTACAATGGATGGCTGCCTTAGCCTGTTTCGCCTGTATGTTCAACCACTTCGGTGCCTACCTACCTGTATGTAGCAGGTCTGTCTGTCAAAGGGGTAGTTGGTCATATCTAAGGAACAGGACGTTGGGAAGATGCTGCCCGGAGCCCAAAATACATTGCCGTCTGATGAGACAGAGACTGGCCTGTTCAGGAGCGAGAAGTTGTTGTAGATGTTGAGCTCTTGTTGGTGTTCTTGTTGATATTGGTGTTGGTGTTGGTGTTGGTGTCGTTGTTGCTGTTATTGTTGTTGTTGTGGTTGCTGTTGTAATTGTTGTTATTATTATTATTATTATTATTATTATTATTGTTGTTGTTGTTGTTGTTGTTGTTGTTGTTGTTGTTGTTGTTGTTGTTGTCGTCTTGTTGTGAGATGTTGTTGGTATTGTTGAGAAGTAAGAGGTTGTTGAACTGGTGTTTATGGAGAGTCAGAAGACAACAGTATTCTATCGCTGTGTTGTTATAATTGTTTTTGTTACTTGGTCTAGAGTTATATAAGTACAACTTAGAAGCCTAAATTGCAATCAGTGTTCTATAAATTTATGTTTACTTACACGAAAGGTTATACATTATTTTAAGATTTCAATGTTATACACCCTCATCGACAGAATTTAAATCGTATAGGAGCTGGATTGTTATGAGCGAGCCTGCCTGTTGGGGCCAAGACGAACCGTGAGATACACAACATCACAACAAGCATAATAATATTACGAGTATCCTCTATAAAGCTGAAGGCTTCTTCCTCCTAGGAAACAAAACTCACCTCTTATACTTGCGAGTTAAACAACCTAACAATAACACGGCAGACGCCAGTTCGTGGAACATAAACAAATGAATGGAATAGCTAATTCAGAAACATTCAACACGGTAAGAGAATAGTATCATGTAAGTGCTACCATTAAATTAAAATGCCCTTTTATTGCAATGCTTGCCCAACGTGGGCAGTATCGTGCTCTAGTTGGAGATTTGGTCATGTGGATGGGCGGTGGCAATCACCTGGGTATTTTGGTGACAAGTCGTAACCTTAGAATTTGAAAAATTAGATGACAAAAATTTGAGATTCACACCATGTCAAGCTTTTTGGAATGCAATTATTTTGATATCTCGATAATGACTTCGAATAGTCTTAAGATTTTGATAGATCTGATAGAACATAATTTGGTTTATGACCTCATGGTCCTGGTTGCTCAAAATGGTCAAACTCTCAGATACAATTTTGTAATTAATCATGTGAAACAGATTACCCATGAAACTAAGGCAAATAAAAACACTTGATAGCTTCAAAAGACATCTTAAACATATTCTGTTCCTACAGGCCTATCCTTCATAAGCTTTTCACGTTATCTTCGATTATAGTTGTTCTGTTCCTATGTCTGGATGAAACCAGTCTCTCCGTCTGTGTGTATGTCCCGCGTGTGCGTGCGTGTGTGTGTGTGTGTGTGTGTGTGTGTGTGTGTGTGTGTGTGTGTGTGTGTGTGTGTGTGCATGAGAAGAAAGGAGGTAGTAAGAAAGGTTTTTGAAATATGGGTATTCCAATGTAAAGCGCATTGATGTAAAGCGCATTGAGCTACTGCGCTATATAAATGCTATATAAATGCTATATACTATTATTATTATATTATTATTATTATTATTATTATTATTATTATTATTATTATTATTATTATTATTTTTATTATTATTATTATTATTATTATTATTATTAATTCTCCAGTACGTGGATGGTATGAAAATTGCAGCCTCCAATGGTCATTGGCTTTTTTAAAAATCCTAGCAGGCACTGATCTATTGTTTCTGTGCATCTTTAGACTTTTCCTTGTACTTGAAGAACGACATCCTGTAGACATGCTTCCCTTCACTCAAACTTTAAAAAGAAAACTTAAACTGGCCTTCTAGCTTAATGGAAGGAGGAAAAGCTGGGTGTCTTGACTGTATAGAATATTAATCTCAGAAAATTAAACTTCTAAATTCAACCTGGGCATGATGTTTACTCCCTTGGTATTACACTGAACTACGGACAGGATGACCTTGGTTCAAATCCATAACATTGGGTGCTCATTGTGGATGGGATCGGATCGGTGTCTGGTCGATCGCCCGACTCGTCGTTTGAAAACAAGCGCATTTGTTTTTGAGGCGACTACGCGGGCTATCGGTTTGTGCCACGATAGCCGCTTTGCGCCCTCAATTTGACTAGCAAACCAACCCGACTCGACTCGATCGCGGTAATGGGCACCCGGAGTAAGATGAATTCTTAAGCCTGAGTTTCGATGGAAAGTTTTAGGGCCTGCCTGCAATCATTTTGGCTTGGTTCTGTGGGAACAATTCACGAATTTGAGGGTCTGGCTTGTTAGATAATAATAATGATAGATAGAATTTGTATTAAATTGTATAGCGCAAATCCCAGCTCAACAGCAAGCTCTATGCGCGTCACAATCTATACTAATACCTCAGCAGACCTGAGAGCATTCTGAAACAACCTCAACTTCCTACAGTGCAAGCAGACATTTATAGGTGTTAAAACACTAACATACTGACAAAATCTTTCGCTGCCTATGGCGGGTACCCATTCCCACCTGGATGAAGTGAAGAAAATTCGTGCAAAGTGAATTTCCCAAGAACACAACGTCTGGCGCGCGGCTCAAACCCCCGAACCTGCAACATCACGATTACGAGCCCGGTAGTCTAACCACTAGACCACCGACGCGTACCGTTTACCGTTGAAAAAGGACGTAAAGTCCATGTCAAAATGACACATTGCAGTATTGTGATTTCATTTTGATTTCAACCAGTGTTAGTGATTGGCGGGCGCTCAAGAGTGGTTTGCTCCTTCTTTCCTATCAAACATCTATCAGTATCAGGGGCTCTTGTGGCTTAGAGGTTATGCGTTCGCCTCTCATTCAATAGGTCCCCGGTTCGAATCCGGATAGCGAAGGAAAATTTTCTTCTCTAGAATGTTCTTCTTTCACATCCTTTCCTGCTCTCTAACTATGTTCTGTCGTCTGCTTCCGTCTCCACTTTCTGACCCCATACCCTCACCTCATTTGTTCCCACCTCTGGACTCCTAGCTCTTTCTGCAGCCTTTCTACTGCTTATCCTTGGCTTCTTCTTACTGCTGTCTTTCAGCCCCACCCCTGAAGAATCTTATGGTAGGCAAGATCTCCACCTAGCCTTCTCGGACTAGGACAAAAGATTCCGGAGGTCCCATGTGCACGTTGCGGGCGTTAAAGATCCATTGGTGGTCCAAAAATCGAAAAGAGTAAGCTTCAGCTACCACCCGGGCAAAATTCAAAATTTCCTACCAACTGAAACATGTTTGGTGTGTCCCGCTCGCTCATATGACATTTTGCAGTTGTGAGTGCCGTAAAACACTTACCACAAGAAAAAAACAAACATATGTCGTTGTAAAACTCTTTCTAAAACAAAACAAAACAAAAATAAAAAACAAGACAGGACAGATTTCTCACGCGTGGTCGTCCTCAAAGAGGTCCCGATCCCCCAAAGTGTTGAGGAGCACAACTCGCGGCTTCCACAGGCTCTTGGTCTGTGGGTGGATTTCTCTCACGCCCCCGTACAAGGTCTCGTCCCACATCAGACGCTGACGGAAGACAGGGATTGAGTAGGTAGTGTATGAATAGGTTTCACTCATGGAAGAGGCATGTTACTATGATCATTCTACACTGCTTGCTTAAAGATGCG